TCAGATGATTTATATAAAAGAAAACGATTTTGTGATTCGCAAGAGTAGCTAGATAGATGAATGTTTTATTTGTACGTGTTTTCTATTATTTCAAGTTGCACTGTTTTATTTGTGATCCGCAAGAGAACATACTTCTTCCATTCTTTTAATATTGCACCACTTATCTTTTAAAGAAATTTCACAAATGTTGCACCATTTCTATTTTGAGACAAAAAAAATATTTCTATTCACACTGCAAATACCTAACCTTTTCACTCTCATTCTTTAATTTATATTTACATTACATGGACAATTTTATATTTTTACTTTTCTCTATCTTCTATTTTTCCTATCACAATTTTTTTGCTCAACAAATACAGGGCAATAATTAAAAAAAATGAAGAACTGCAAAAGATGATCGCTTAACTTGGGTGATTTGAATGGACATAATCACATAAGCCTACATTTTATTTTATTTATTTATTTTTGAAACACATAAGCTTACAATTGAATTATATATACAACCATTGTAAAAATCTTTTCATGTTACATTGTACGGCAACTTTGATGATATTTGGAGCCATATATGCATGCATCAATGCATGAATGAATGAATGATGCAGTGCATGCATGAAGAAGAGAGCTTTTGAGCCTATTGGGAAATAAATAATTAATACAAACAAATTCATAGGTTATATTGATACACCATCTAGCTACAAGATGAGCAATTGTATTTTTTTTTTAACACATCTCGGTTATCTTATCCGAAGATTAATTAAGCACTCAAAACACTTTTATAAACTTGTTTAATTTTTTCACCGTCTCAAATAGTACTCTTACGATAAACACCATAATATTAATATACAGAGTACGATTAATGAGGGTTAAATTAATATTTATACCCTATCTTTTTTTTTTTTTTTTTTTTTTTTTTTTGAAAACTATACCCTATCTCTTGAATTTCGACTAGTGGCCAATAATAATAATAATAATAATAATAATCTTTATTTTTAAAACATCAATAAATTATGTTTAATAATTACTCCATAGCTTTAGAGAAGGTAATCATACCAAATCAATTTTATGTATCTCTCTTCAATGATTACGAGCAAAGAGTGGGGCAGAGATTAGCACTGTTGGTCTGTTCCCTCTTACATTGGTCACTTTATAATCCAAACAACAGCCTTATTTTTATTCAAAATTGGTGTGATATGCAATAATACCAAACTCTATTTTTAAAAGTAAAAATTAATTAATTAAATTTTTGTTTATAACTAAAAAAAATAAAAATAAAAAACCCAAACCTCTCACGTACACTCACATGTACGAGTCTCCTTTCGTACGCGGTCACTTTCAAATAATGTATGTTCTTGATAACCACATGATTTTCTTCCTAACGGTCGGTTTTCATTTAATATTAATTGTCATTTCTCCATTCAAATCTAGAGATGGATTCCATGTGCTTTTTTAATTCTCATTTTTCTCTGTTTACAACATCATGGATTCAATTCATGGCTATATGCTTGTGCTAGCTACTTGTAATTGTATGGCTATTTTACAATGGTCTACGTGTTACTATTGCAAATGGTACGGTTTGACTACTCTTGTGTGGTCGATTCATCTATGTGACAATTTATCTTTTATTATCGTCTTATTACTTAGCTAGCCGGTTGGTATACAATAATGCACTCGTTAAAATTATGATATGTACATTATTGATTTAAGAACACATTGTTGTACAACTAAAGAAGTACAGTATTAATAAGAACCGTATAAAATCATTAATGTCCATACAATATGTTTTTTTGTTAAAAAGTCGGTATGGACAATGACTTCCCCTCCTAACTCGCTCATCTAATAATTTCATGATTATAATGAGTTTACATTAGGTTAGTGTTGATGTTGTTTCGGTTATCTTGTACTTTTGACCTAAAGCTTTGCTCAAAAGACTAAAATTAAATTTGATAAAGCAATTGACTAGTGATGAAGAAGCTCGATTTTCATATTTCAAACATTCAATAATGTTCATAGTGGTATCTCATTGGTTATCAAAGTAATTAATTTAATTAATCTCCTGTTTAAAAAGATAATTAAAAAATGTTATCTCCTACTTTATGATATCTTGAATCCTCTAGGGAAACTAGTTTCCTGATCCAAATCGATCTATCTCTGGTTCAATAGCTTAATAAAAAGTTAGTATTAAAATCCACCTGTCGATGGCAAATTAGCATCTAGGTCAATAGTTTAAATTATGTAGCCTTTCCATATTATTAACATATAATTAAGCATATAATTTAATTAAACATGAAATGATCAATAAAGTAGGTACACAACTAAACAATGTTTGATTGTATTTAATTGCATGTCGTTCCTATTATTACTCCATTTGATCTGATACACCGTGTGCACCCTTCGATCACATTTAACTACTCATAAAGTCACATGTTCTACACATAGAGTTGTTTTTTTTTTTTTTTTTTTTTTTTTTTGTGTGAGAAGATAGATGCATCTTATAAATGCAAAGTTATATATACAACGGGTTTATTGTATGCAGTATGTCTACTAACTCAAATATAAGAAAATTTAACATTATAAAGTATACTATTAATTCTTTTAATTAGTAAATTTACATACATGACGATTACTAATAAACAGTTGGATCATGTACATCGATGATGCTTGTTGTGATAAGGTCATAAGGGTAGGTACTAAATATATGCATTACCATTAATTGAATGTATGACACATTACACAAAGAAGAGGTACAATTTAATAGAGGTAGTATTGCTATTATTACAAAAGAGACAATATATTGGGTAACAATAAAGTCAGACATTATATTATGATTGTTACAGTAATTTAACCAGTACTGTAAGCCAGTAGACACATGAGAAGATCATATCGGTCGTAGTGGATTGTCAATCGATCGATGTGATGAGTAGTGTGTTGCGATCTGCATGCTACTGTAACAATCATGCATGCCCATAATATAATCAATACTCTTCTACTTACCTCCATTTCAGTTTCACATTTGTTACACATGATTATATGTCGATACTATTGCAATTTTCAAATAATAGTTGATATTTAATTTGTTACGTTTTATATACTATATTTGTTAAATGTTATGTACAATTTTAGAATATTTTATATTTCACAAATAATACCCTAAAGTTGCACATAATAATTAACAGATGTAGTGGCCTTTTAGTTATGTATTGTAGTTTGTTGGTGGTGACAACGTGTTGGTGGCATGCAGTGGTGGTGCTTGTCGATCCACAACTTGAGTTAGTAAATTTCTAAGGACAAAGTATAGGTTTGAATATGCCCTATAGAGCACGTATAGACATCATTATGTCATATTTGATTGAGAACATAAGAGTTAAAACTCTAAAATGATCAAAGCAATTACTTGCTTTCGGAAGGAAATTATTGATTTTGGGATTTGGTGACTTGGTGTCGATCTCTCGGCTATTACCTAACTAGCCCGTAAGTTGTCATGGGCACTCGGCAGAGGCATCATTTAAAAAAAAAAAAAAAAAAAAAAAAAAAAAAAAAAAAAAAACCTTTAGTAGCATTTTAATTTCTAAATATAAATACTTCCTCCGATTTTTTTATTATTGCACTATAAGGGTTTGATACAAATATTTTGGTAGTAGAAAAAAGTAAGAGAGAGAAAGGTAAAAATACAAAATTGTTTATGTGACATATTGATAAACTAAAAAGTAAGTGGAAAAAAGTAAGGGTATGTTGGGAATTTGTAGTGTGAACACAAATAATTTTTTTCCTAAAGAGGAAATGGTGCAATATTTGTGAAACCCCCTAAAAAGGCAAGTGGTGCAATAATAAAAATACGAAGGAAGTATTAAAGCATTTTCATTTCTAAATATAATATAAATATCAATGAATTGAATGATATCCAAATTTTAATTAATATGCAAACATAAAAAATAAAAAAAAAAGAAGAAAGGGATGAGGGAAGGAGATTTAGTGTGGGGAAAGGGATTGAGGTGGGTGCTTTCGAGGTAGGGGAAGGGATCTAGGGTGGTCTCAAGTCAATCAAACTCTACTGATCTGGTAGTCATTAAGGATATCTAGTGTATTAGGGTTTGTTTTCTTCAGGTATTTTCAGTTCAGTTTCAGCTTCAATAAGTTCGGTTCATTTCAGGTTTAATAAGTTCAGTTCAGTTCAGTCAATCAGAACATGTCTTTATTGTGAAAAATCAAGGGGGGTATACAATAAATAAACCTAAAATTTGAGAGCATATGAAAAATACGGAAATATTTATATATAGAAATTAGAAAACAATTTTGGGCTACCTAGAATTGTTTTGATTTGGACTAGATTGATATGAGTCATATGACCACCCAAAATCAATTTTTTTTTTTTTTTTTTGAAGAACCACAGTTGTACAGAAATCCTCAATCTATTCTGAACCAAATTGTGTTACCCCTACTATCAGCGTGTAAATTGTTTGATACAACCGTTACTTTATTATACTCTCTAATAGGTCACTTAAAATGCATGTAAGAGCATACACAATGGTTGCCCAACCCCATCTTGGTTATTGATTATTTTATTATTTTATCCATCTTCCACCTCACTTATAACCACTCTTATAACCATTTAATAACCAATGTATGCCAATAGTTAACCATAATATTTTGGTTATACATTTTCTCTCTCCTACTTTTACCCAACCCCACCACACAATTTATTACTTAAATTCTATTATTATTAAATAATGCATTTGGTAATAATCATTCAAAATTAATAATTATTTATTAGCATACATTAATTAGATAAAATCTCAAAAATTTAAAAATAATGCAATTTTGATATTAATTAGTACGTAATTAGTCGTTAATTAAGACACAAACAATAATTGTAACCCTACTACATTCCACAATAATAAAAATCATACATATATATTCTATCAAATGACAAAAGTCTTTGAAAGATAATAACGAACCGCGAACAAGTACAAACACAATGATATAATATTGCGATTACACATCTATTAATGCATATTATTGTCCCTACTTTGAACACCGAATTTGAGCCACATATGTTCAACTAAGTCTTTCTTCAATGCTTTATGCATAGCTTCATCACGAACACGTGCTCTATTAGACATGTAAGTTTCCAAACTTGCAATTCGGTTGTTGCTATTTTGGAACTGAAAAGGCTCTTCATTATTTTCATTACTTGAAGACGCATTTGTAGCTTGATCATATTCATTTGGATCGTAATACGTTTTATATGTATCTCTTTCATCCTCAACAATCATATTGTGCATAATAATACACGCTATCATTATTTTTTCTAACATTGATGCGTCACGAGCTAGCGCTGGATTCCGTATTATTGCAAAACGAGCTTGTAATACTCCAAAAGCACGCTCAACGTCCTTTCGTTTAGCTTCTTGTACTTTGGCAAATAGACCTTCTTTTTCATTTTGTGGTAGTGATATTGTAGGAATGAATGCCGCCCATTTAGGATATATACCATCAGTGAGATAATATCCCATATTGTATGTGCGACCATTCACAACATAGTTAATAGAGGGTGCACAACCTTCAAAAACATCATTAAACAATGGGGATCTATCAAGAACATTAATATCATTACGACTACCTGGTGTCCCAAAAAAGGCATGCCAGATCCAAAGATCATATGATGCCACAGCTTCCAAGATTAATGTGGGTTTACCTGGTCTTCCAGAAAACATACCTTTTAATCGAAGTGGACAGTTTTTCCACCTCCAATGCATACAATCAATAGAACCTAACATGCCAGGAAATCCACGACGTTCACCAATCCTTAGTAGTCTTACTAGATCTTCTTCATTGGGCTTTCGAAGGTATTCATCACTAAAGTAAGAGACTATTCCTTCCACAAAATGCTGAAGTGAATCTCTTGCAAGAGATGGGATAACATTTGGAGAATTTGAATAATTAGGATTTTGTGGTGGTTGAAAAGGAAACGGAGTGAAAGTACTTGGATTTGAGAAATTGAGATTTTGTGAACCGTAATTCGGAAAATTTTGAAAATTTGTATCTAAATCTGAGTTGAGATCAATTGGAAGATTAGAATAGTAAGGTTGAGGATTTGGATTATTTTGGGGCTGTGATGAGTTATGAGATTTTGTGGATTTTTTTTTTCTGTTAGATTTTGGAATGTTCATCTTAACACAATTTGCCAATAAGAAGAGTAATTTTCACTTAAAAAAAAGTTGTTTCAAAATACTTCAATATTGGGCTCATTTTATAGAGAAAAATAAAATAGAGCCGTTGGTGTATTTTTTTTTTTTTTTCAGAATTGTATTTTAAAAATTATGGCCGTTACAAAAATTACAACGGTTATAAATTCAGAGCAAATCTCAACCATTGATATTTGTATTACGTGTCAAAATCTTAGCCATCCATGTCAACCAAAAAGCAAAAAAAAAAATTGCATGACCATATACATAACCGGTTATTTGAATAACCTGGTTATTCAATTGATACCCCAATAATTTCTCTCTCCTCAATATTTTATTAATATTTTCATTTTCTCTCTCTTAATAACCACCCAAATAGTTAATGGCTGTGGGTACTCTAAAGGGTGGTTCTTGTTGCAAATATGTTAAAATATATGGAATATTTTTTTCCTTAAATTTTGGTTATGAAAAATAGTCAAAATTTAGTTCAACAAATTATAGATACAGTAAACAACTTGGTTACTTTTCAAACTAACAATAGATTGAAAAAGCCTACTAACACCACCATATAACCTGTTAACGTCTGTTTTCTTCAGCTCAATTTTAGTTCAACTTAGTTCAGTTCAGCTCCAATCAGTTCAATTCAATTCATAATTTCCTTCTATCATAAACAATTAAGTTCAGTTCATTTCTAATCAGCCCAATTCAATTCAGTTCACTTTACTCCATAATATTTTCTCTAAGATAAGAAATTCATCTCCACTCGCCTTGTAGGATAACTATTAAGGTACCTCGAAAATAAGGGTAATGAGACTAATAACTTCCCAACCCTCCCTTTTCCTTACACGATCACACCTCGTCATCCCATTTAGCACCACTTTCCCTACTCTAATCCATCATCCCAATCCACATATACTCTATTAGTTACTCCTTTGAATCAACAAAGTACGAGTACTATTTTAGGGTACAACATTCGAAAAAACAAAAAGTTAGCACCTTTAAAATAAATGCATGACACAATACACATCTTTTTCGTTAGATACGGTTGAGGACTCGGTGGGCTACATATTTCAAGCCAACCCCCTAAAACACCGCCTAAGTTGAATGCCGCCTAAATATATAGTGATTGACTAACTACTAACACGTCTTTGACTTCAATTCATGTCATCTCCTAATTGTTTAGTCTTCATGCATGTATTAAACAACTAGATAGTGTACATGATACTATAATCTAATTTTATGTGTGAACACAAGAAGATTAATGTTTAAAAATTGAGTCATAGTTTATATATCAAGATTTAAATATATAGCACACTGATTTTTGTGCAAATTTTTGGTTTTAATGTTGGTAAAACAATTAAGGTGTTGTACTTGTACTATATTAGTTGTGTCGCAGTTACATTGCATAGTTTCCGGTTTAAGATCAGCTCTCTTTACTAGGGGACATTAACTTTATTTTATTAATTTATTTTGTAAGTGATGAGAAGATGTCTAATCGAATGAAATTTTATTCAGGTCAAATTATTTCAGGTTAGCAAGCAAAACCCTTTGGACTAAGGAATAAGTAATATCACTAGTTAAAATTAAGGGAAATTTGAATTTTAGTACCTCGAATATGGGGGTAATTGAATTTTAGTACCCATCTAAAATTTTATTTTAAATTAGTATCTCCAAAATGACAAAACTATAGGTTTCAGTACCTCCGTCAAGTTCCGTTAAGTTTTCTGTTAGTGGAGCCCAATAACTAATTATTTAATAATTTAATTTATTAATAAAAAGGAAAAAATTTTGTAAAAAAAAACTAAAAAAATAATAATAATAAAAACAGCCACTGCCACCACCGCCGGCGCCGGCTTCCGGCTGTTGGTGGCCGAATTCCCCTGGCACCGGCGCCGGCCACCCCTTCCCTTTCCCTCCCTGTTTTCCCCTTCCCTGGCACCGTCGCAACCACCACCATCTTCCCTCCCTTCCTCGTTCCTGGCCGCGACACCCCACCCCTCCCTTTCCCTCCCTGTTTTCCCCTTCCCCGAAACCCTAAGCGCAACCACCTAAACTAGCCTAGCGAGAAGCTAACAACAGCAAATCAACCCACCACCGCCGCATAACTCCTCTCCCCTACCCAAAACCGTCGTCGAACTGTCAAAACCCCAACCCACACCCATACCAAAACCCACAAACAGTCGTACTCCGCTCACCCTTACCCTGAAACCAAATCAGGGCTGAGGAATTTAAGATCAACGGCTTCAATTGGAAGTGCGAAAGGTGGTGGTATTGTCGGAGGAATTGGTGCTGGCTGGTGCGTGGGAACGAAGTAGGGGTTGCGGTGCTCTGCTAGTTGCGGGATGTTGGTGGTGAAGGCGTCGGAAGAATTGGTGCTGGCTGGTGCGTGGGAACGAAGCAGGGGTTGCGGTGCTCTGCTAGTTGCGGGATGTTGGTGGTGAAGGCAGTGGGGTGCCGAAAATTACTGTTGCGGACTGGAGGTTGAGGGGAGGTTGCTGGGCACGGGGTTGGTCTACCGCCGGTGGAAGGTGGGTGGCTGGTGGTATTAGGGTTTTTTTTCTGATTTTTTTAAAATATTTTTTAAGTTTTTTTATAAAATGTTTTTTCTTTTTTTTAATAAATTAAATTATTAAATAATTAGAAATGGGCCCCACTAACGAAAAACTTAACGGAACATGGACGGAGGTACTGAAATCTACAGTTTTGTGTTTTTGGAGGTATTAATTTAAAATAAAATTTTAGATGGGTACTAAAATTCAATTACCCCCATATTCGAGGTACTAAAATTCAAATTTTCCTAAAATTAATTCCACAACATTAAGATTGTGAGATGTAATCTTTCTCTGTTTTCATGTTGAATTGAATAGAGCTTAATTGATATCTAAGTTGAATTGAATTGAAATCAAGTAGTATAAAAAAGCTTTAATACTACTTGATTGGAGTATTAATTTATTTGTATGAAAAATTATGATATCTCTTTAAAGTGGCATCTTTAAGTCTATCATGGTCTTGAAAAAAAAAACTTTATCTTTGATTGGGTGATTTTTGGGAAACATGAGACTGATACCTTGCTGACATAATAAGGAATGATAACTACTTATAGTCAATGGTACATTTTCTTAAACTAACAAAACAAATACTGAGATTTTTCTAATTTATGGGGAAAGGTAAGCATGGGACCACTTAGGATTTTAGGAGATAAGGGGTGATTGGTAATTTTACTAGACTCAAGTATTCTTCATGAGATTCGATTTATCCATAATGGTCTATTCTATTCGGCTTAATTTCAATTTAGTTCAGTTTACTTCATTTCAACTTTTAATTTTTTTCTCTTATAAACAATTCATTTCAGCTCTATTTATTTCAGTTCATTTTCGATTAGTTCAGTTAAGTTCAAATTAGTTTATTTCAATTTTTTCAGTAAATCGGAATAGACCATAAGAGGGTGAGATTTTAAGAGTATGTCAAGCCTTTATGTACGTACAACTACAATTTGTTATATAGATACGATGATAGGTACATCTAAGACAAAGTTTATGCTTATTTTTTTTGAGGAAAATTTATAATTATTAATCCCAACTTTGGGCGATTTCTTTCCATTAATCCCAACTTTCGATTATTTTTAAATAATCCCAACTTTAGGGGGCGTCTTCTTTTATCAGGTCAAATGACCGGTGACCTGTTTAACAGGTTTTTTTTTTTGTTTTTTTTCCTTAAATGCCATATGTCGCAATTTCATTGGTAAAAAAAATTAGAAATTTAAAACAAAAAAAAAAAAATTAAAAAAATAAAAAAAAAAGAAAAAGAAAAAAAAAAGAAAACCTTGCCAATACCCCTCAACCACCCACCACGGCCACCAGCCAATACCCCTCAACCATCCACCGGAATCGCAACAACCACCCAAAACCACCAAAACCACCATCCGCACCAATCGCGACCCCTACAACCACCATCTCGCGCGAACGTCGACCCCCATTACCACCAGCAGCGCGATTCCCCGACCCCCCTTTACAACCATCTCGCGCAAACCTCGACCCCTTTCGCCGCTGAATCCCCCTCCCCCTCCCTCTGTTTCTCGTTTTCGCCGCTGATTCCCCCTCCCTCTGTTTCTCGTTTTCGGTGGCTGGGTTTTGGGGTTTCGGGGGCTAAGAACTTGGGCTTTCAGTGGTTACGTGGGGCATTTCAGTGGTTGCGTGGGGGTTTTTGGTGGTTTTCGGTGGGGTTTGGTGGTTTTCGGTGGTTTTCGGTGGGGTTCGGGAGAGAGACGGTGGTTTTGGGTGGCTGCTAGGGAGGAGGTGGTGGGGCTGCGTGGGAAGGAGGTTTTTTTTTTTGATTTTTTTGATTTTTTTTTAAACTTTGATTTTTTTTTTGGACAAATTAAGTGTTGACACGTGTCCAATAACCTGGTATAACATGTGATTGACTTTCGTTGACCGGTTTTGGCCTGATAAACGAAGACGCCCTCCAAAGTTGGGATTATTTAAAAATAATCGATAGTTGGGATTAATGAAAAGAAATCGCCCAAAGTTGGGATTAATAATTACAAATTTTCCTTTTTTTGAATGGAAAGTTTATGCTGATTTAGAAGATGTATATAGTGAAATTATAAGATACAAATAGTGTGTTAAACTAAATCACTTATTGAGGATAGTTTGTAATAGAAAAATTGCAAAACTATTAATATTAGACCTTTGCGCTAACAAACAAATAAAATTTAGGAGATAATAAGAGCCTATTTTGATTAACTGAACTGTTTATGAGAGAAGAAAATTAGGAACTAAACTGAACTAAAATTAAGCGGTAGAAAACATGCCCTAAGTTGTTTGATATGATTTTCTTGATGTTTTGTGAAGATATACATGGACTTAGGTAAAATTTTATATTACAATGTTAGATATGTTAGAAAAAAATGAAGACAAAGAAAGTTTGAAACTAATACTGAAGAGGTTGTCGAATTTACTTATTCAACACCTGTAAACATTACA